AATTTTAAATAATTTGAATTGGTTAAGTTTAAAATTAGTAAGATTGTGAGTAGATTTTTGATTGTGATTAAAGTATAGCCAGGTTGAATTCCAATCAATATAATGGGTTAATGGAGTCTATTTATCATTTTGTTTTTGTAATGACTATAATGCAAAGTTGTAAGCTTTATAGATACTTTTAACAAAGTATCTGATAGAAAGTTTAACAATAAATTTTTCTGTTTCAAAGAATAATAAATAATATGAGTTGTAAATATTCATGTAGTTAAAGTATAATGGGGATTCATTTATATGTTGCTTAGCAAGTGAGTTTGCTAAGTTGTTAAGAGTGTTGTCTGAGTAGGCTTGAATTTTATGAAAGATGATATTTAGTTTGTATAATTTAATAATATTTAGTAAGATATGCCATAATAGCCAGGAGTTAAATTTAAAGAGTTTATTAGAATTTAGAAATAGTTGATTAAGTTGAGTAAATTTTGATATTATAGATGAAATTCTGTATAAATGTTAATTGTAGAATTTCAGAAGATAGTTGAGATAGCAAACAGAATAAAGAAAAGTTTAGCTTTGTAAGATGATAGCCAAAGGTAAACTTTTGCAGTGAATTTGTGGATAACTTGGTCATTAGAATCTACTTGGACCCAGTCGATACCCATGATACAGTTATTTGTACTTATATCAATTACTAAACCATCAGTATAAAAGTTAAATGAGTTGTATAATAGGTTATTAGAAGATATTTGGTTAAGTTTGTTAGTTGCTTCACTTGCTTCAAAAATTGCAGATGAGATGAAGTTAGAGATAGGAATGGAAGGCAATGATAGTGGTAAAGAATTTGGCAAAGGCCATTTAATTGTAGCAAAACTGAGAAGGTCTAAATAGTTTGCATTTTTTTAACTGAGTTTGAAATAATTCTATCAAAAAATTAGACAAATGTAATAGGTGAAGTATTAATAGTATATGATATAATTATTTGTTGTGAGTTAAGTTGACAGTCTGAACAAGAAACAAGATTAATCTGTTGAAGTAGATAGTAATTAGTATTATTTATATTAATATCTGATTGCCAATATGTGATTAATATTTTGTTAGAATCTGTAAGATGTTTACAGATTTTGCCTATAATGATTTTCTCATTATTAAAAGTAATTAGCCAAGGTTTATGTTTTTTAAGAATATTGTATGTATTATATATAAAGAAGTTAGTTTCTTACTGTTGATATTGAGGTTTGAGGGAGCGATAATAATGATTTTCTATAATATAATTTTCAAGTTTAGTAAACTAGATCAGTTTTCTGCCTTTAGGCAAATGAAAAATTCTTGATAATAAGTGTAGCTATTTAAGAAATGTAATGTTGTCTGAGGTACAGAGTTGTTTAAAATAAAGTAAATTTAGTCATCTAAGTTGTTTTTTAAACATTGTATATTTAGAGTGATGTTAAAGAATAAGTTCAAGAGATTGAAGCTAATAATAGATAGTGTTTGGTCATAATATATTACTATTAGCTCTGATAGAGACAGCAATTTGTAGAAATAGTTGGATAATTTTAAAATTAAGAGTATATTTATTTTGACCATTAACATTAGATTAAGAATGTTCAGGAATGTTTATAGTAAACCAAAGGTTGTTTTGAAGCTGTTGTAATTTAATATATATAGAAATACCTAGTAAATAGGAATCATTAATTTATTGAAGAAAAGTAGTAATATGGTGTTGTAATTGTATATCTCAAATATTACATATATTGTATAGATAGAGATAGAGCATTGTACTATTAGAGATTGATCTGACAAGATGAGATTTGTGTTTAGCAACTGTAAGGTATTTGGCCAGTATGCAATTATATATAGTTTTAGGAAAAATAATATTATATATTCTGTATTCTAATATTGGGATAATAACTGTATTAATAATGTAAGTAATTTGTTTGTTTATAATGTTTTTTGTATTTGCAGTATTAATTAGTTGAAAAGCTTTTTCTTGAATTAATTTGATTATATGGATTTATTTGTTGTTAAGTGTAAACCAACAACCTAAATATTTGAAAGGTTGGCTATTAGGAATAGAGTTGATAATAGAGTTAAGAAAAATAATAAAAGTAGGTTTGGTGTTTATAGCAAATATTGACTTGGTAGAATTAATCTGAAGGTTGACTATTTGGTAGAAAGTTGCTGCTATTTGAGTAATTTATTCTAACTCATTTTTGGATTAGGCAATCCATAATGTGTCATTTATATAAGCAAGAACTGAAATAGAGGTAAAATATTGTTTATTAAATAGTAATATATAAAAAAAATTAGTTAAATCAGATTATTAACTTTTAAATAATAGGTTTAGTATTTAAATCTTATAAATAATAAATTTTAAAATTTATATTTATATTATAGTAACTGTTTCTAGTCAATTAGTTAAATTTACATATTTGTAATCTTAGATATATCAAGTCAAATTTTTTTAATATTAAAAGCTTATAGTATCTATATAAAATATAATATATATAAATAAATAAATATTAAAACAGATCTTATATAAGATTTTAATGCAAACTTATAATAAAGCTATTAGTCATAAAAAATTAAAAAACTAAAAAACCATAAACCTATTTAAACATTTTGAATAAAAAAGTAGTATAAATTTTTAACAGTATTGTTGAACCAATAAAAATCTATGAATTAATTCTAAAAAAATAAATAGATATATTAGATAACAGATATATAAGAAAACATATATATTAATCAAACTATTAAAATTAATAAAAGAAAAAAATATAAAAGTATAATATATTAAATTATTTGAATTGATAATCTAAAGAATTCTGTCAATTTTAAATAATAATTAGTAAAAAATAATAAAGAAGATATTAGAAAGATGAATATTGAAGTTTAAAATAGATTAAAGAATTATAAACCCATTTACATCACACTTTATATAATTATATTAATAATATTTATATAATAGTCATGGTTAAGATTTGTACTACCTGCATAATATAATTATACTACATAATATGATTATATCAAATGTAATATAAATAGGTTCATAATTGTTCAAGTATTCTAAAATTTGAATAAACTTTGTAAAAATATAATGATTTAATAATTAATCCAGACTGCAAATATTAATCTTAGCTATAATAATATCAGATTAGCTATAAATATATAAAATACAAAAAACTCCAATAGGTTTAATATAAAGTTAAAGATTTTTCACATAGTAAACTGCTTTAAAGATTTTATAACTATGAATATTTGTACTAATATTGACTAAAACAATTGGTAAAGTAGGTAGATAATGAATATAAGAACTAGAATATTTAAATAAAAGACCTACAGGTAGGTTCTAAATATAACAGCTAATGTAAAACCTTTAGATGAATTACTTAAATTAAACAATAACTAAAATTGTACAAATGATTAGTTGTATACTCATTTTATAATTGTCTCTGTAATTGTTGTATAAACAGCTATTAGCTGAAACATACTATCAATAAAATTCTGAGTCGCAAGTACTCACCTTAACATTAAAAAAAAAGAATTAGTTAAACCAATTCTTTCTATATACAGAATAAGATATAACCTTATTTGACAACACAATAACATATAATCTTGTAATTGGATTTGAATAATTTAAGCTTTTTAAAATCATCTTAAAGGCAAATATACTAGTATCAAAATTATTTTAAAAAACTTCTAAATAAAAAGTTATTTGACCTTAAAATTTTTTAAAAAATCAACCATAATGCAAATTCCAAAAATCTGTGCATACGAAAAAATTATAGCAACTTCTAAATAAATTTTGATAAAATACTTTAAATATAGTCCAAATATTGTTTTACGAAACAATATATATTTTGTATAACATATATTTTAGAGATATTGCATTGAGTTCAACAAAAAATAACGCACATGCATGCCTCAAAATAATTTGTAAGAGTAATTATTTTATAACTATTGCTATATACTTTCCACTACAGTTATATAGTAGATTATATAATATCGACCCCAAAATCAGGCGTTTTATAAATGCCTTTTAGACAAAAATAATTTTACTATACTTTAAAGAACTAGATAGATAAGCATTTTCTTAATTATATATTGAAATAACTGAGTGAGTATTTTCTTAAGTATAGATACAGTATGTAACTGTTAAATTTATTAAATTATGATTCTCAAAATTTTGAACTACAAATTAAGAAATTAGGAACCTTGATTTTTTTAGAATTTCCGAACATCTCTATTTATTAAGAATAATAATTATTTTTTATAATTTTTGAAATTAATGAATCCCTTTTCACCTTTTTCAATCTTCCTATAGATCATCCAACATAAAGCGTACGATAAATCGCTATAAAGTATATGATGTATCAGTATAAAGTTTATAATAAATCAGTATAAAGTGTATGATAGGTACCACTTCAAAAATATATATATTATATTTATTTTCTAGCAGGTAGAGACGAATCCTTGGAGGTAGTACTTATTCGTGGATTAGCTGCACTTAAATCCAACGAGTCCTAATTAATTTAGAGATCAAATATTTTAAATACGAATTTCTGGGTTTTGCTGATCTTACTAAGCATAAGAGGGATAATTATCTGCACAGATTCAATTTCGTTAAAGAAATAAAATACTTGATGATTCTTTTCTTTCATCTTTTCAATTTCTTGATCGGGATTAACTGCGTCTTTATCGTAGGCAGTTGTTGAATGAGCAATCTGATTTGTATTTCCAGAAACAGTTTGTTCTGCCCGGTCACATGGTGTCGTGGAGGTATCACTAGATTCATTTTCATCTTTTTTTGCATCTGATTTTATTAGGTGTTCATTAGATTTATGATCTTGAGAGTTACCTGAATAATTAGAGGCTGAAAAGTTGAAAAACATGCGGAATTGTGGCAGAGAAGTACTAGTATGTCGAATTAAACGAGTGTACATTTTTTGAGAAAAACGACGTTTGTTGAAATGTATTGCATGTTTATATAAATGATGACAGAAGATACCTATACGACATGGTGATATCATTATTTTAGTGAAAATAGCATGTGAAGTTAAGATATATTATTTTTGCTTTACTAATATTATTAGAGGTATTTTGTCGTTTAATAATATAAAATAATCGTTTATTTATATATATCTGTTCACTAGCCGGAGTTTTTTCCGTTGATGCGATTAAAGCCACAAAATATTATACGTATTACCGTTACGTATATTATAAAAGTTGGCAACGTGACACAAGATTGGTATAAATTTGATTATAAATTTGATCAAAATTTCCCGACTTCGTAGAAAATCTTTTTTTTTATTTTTAACATAACATGGGAAAACGGAAAGCTAATAAAAGTGAAGATCCTATCGACTCAGCATCTATGGATGTATCTGAGGAAGAAGGGGAAGAAGAAGTAGACTCTGATGAAGGTGTTTCTGACGGGGAAGAAAATGCGCATTTGGAAGTACTATCGTATAAATTTAAAAATTATTCACAATTTTATTCGATATCAATTTTAAAACAATAATATTCATCCGCCGATTATAGGAGGAAATAGTGGATATAGACTTTGACTTTTTTGACCCCAAACCGATAGACTTCCACTCAATAAAAAATTTGATGATTCAATTATTTTCCGCGGATGCTGAATTATTTAGCATTAGCGAACTCACTGAACTGATTATTGGTCAACCATTATTGGGTACTACTGTAAAAGTTGATGGTTCAGATTCGGATCCATATGCAGTTCTTACAGTTTTGAATATGAATGAATATTCAGTAAGTTAAATTAAGTTAAAACTTTGATCGATTACATTTCTAGTCGTAATTTAAATAAACAAGCTTTTGAATAGGAAAAAAAATGTATAAAAGATTTAGTTACATATTTACTAGACAAGACAAAACAAGATTCAGTCTTAAATGAAAAACTTGATACGTTATTAAAAAAAGGTTCCACAGAACACGTTGGATTAATATTAAGCGAAAGATTAATTAACATGCCAGTACAAATTGTACCGCCTATGTATAAAATGTTGCAAGAGGAAATTCAGTGGGCTGTTGACGATGTAAGCATAAAAGCCACTTAAAACTTATAATCAAAAAATAATTTTTTTTAAAAAGAAGAAATTATTATTTAAAAGTTAACGTTTTTTGTCTAGAATGAACCATATAATTTTGAATGGTACCTTGTATTGTCTAAAACTTATCAAGAAGTAGTGTCTACTTTGGATGACGAAAGTAAACCAAGTAAAAATCAAAAAAAGAAAAAAGCCAAGGTATCTATTAACACATATATCTAATTTAATTTATGTATTTCTATAATTTTAATTCATTTTCTTTTATTATTAGTCTGAACCAACAATATTTTATTTTCATCCTGAGGATGAAATTATCGAACAGGTAGTTTAATTTTACTCATCATTTCTTTTACATTTTAATGATTCTCGAACCACAATTCATAAAAACATATTATATTGTTTAGAACGCAGAATACCAATTAAATTTCAATTTTACAAAACAACCATCAGTTTCAGATTCCAAAAGAACTTTTTCAAATTTTGGCATTGTACCTGCTATGAAGCTGTTTTTGTTTAATAAGTCGAAGTTTGACAATTTGGTTCGAGGTTTAGAAAATGCTTGCAAATAAATATATGCTAAGACCATAATACATATAATTACATTTTACCAACACTCTCAAATAGGTATATCGCTAACCCCAACTTTGGTTAATTGTGATCTACCACTAGTGATCCTTTAAAAATTATACAGCATTCTATTATATAAAATCCAAAAATTATTTACGTAATTTATAAATAAAATATTTGAACCCTAGTGTAGGCCAATTCTAACTATATGGTCGTTAATTATTTTGACAAATATATGTTAGCACCCTTTCCATGTTATTTTTACTCTTCCATCATCTAGGTTGGCAATTTGCTATTTATATTTTATAAGGAAACGTAAATATATATCTATATATCTATATATCGATTTAAAAATCAATAAGTGTATCATAACTTACTTTAAAGGCAGTTGATGACATATCAATATCTCCACTTTTACATACAGGGCACTTAAAATAGTATTCAAAGTTAGCAATAGGTATTAGTAAATAATAAAAAAAAAAATGAATAAAAAAATAAAAAATTTACCTTATCTACAATTTTTACTTTAACAGTTCCCTTAGGTCCAGTGATTTGTATACATTTCCCGCACACTGGCGAATCAGCAGGATCAGAATATATACCGTACTGTGGTGCATTCTTTTATTAAAAAAAAAAAAAAAATTAGATAATAGGTGATGATCATAAAAGCATTTGTTTAGAAATTTACCATAGCGGCAACTAGTTCACTGTCATAATTTTGCATTCCACATGAACCTATCCCTACGCCTGGATCTATCAATGGATGCATCGAAATTTAATATATGCATAAATTTTAATATATATGCTAGGATACGGTCAAACCTCCATAAATGCACCCTTAACAAAGATAAATCCTCTCTAAATGCATAGTATAATTTGATTCCATTTTATAAATGTCCTATATATTTTGTTACCTATAAATACACATCCACTTTAATGAATATGCCCGATTTCCTTAGATGAATATCGTTTTTTTTTACTATGACCCCAATGGGTATATTTAAGGAGGTTTAATTATTCTGTATCGACTCACCATAATAAGTACCGTCCCCACTCCCACTCATATTTAATCCTGGTGCTCCAATATCATAGTTTTGAAATCCGCCGACAGCGGCAACTATTATTATAATAAGTAAAGCTAATAAAAATAATCCTAATGAAATTAATATGGCATATTTGTATGGTGCTACTCTTGGATGTTTTCTTTCTAGCCATTCGCTCAATCTGTAATATGGGGTTAAAAGAACTTTACAACACGGTGAGCAAGCGGTTCTGGTTTTTTGCCATATGGATGGGTTTGAAGATTTGGATGGAACTGGTGGGGGAATGGATGATTTTGAGGATGATTGGGAAGAGTTACCAATGCGAGTTATAGATGAAAACATGATATTATTTTAAAAAAAATATTTTTTTTTTCTAGAGAAAGCCCGTTATACGTAACAATATGTTTAATGAATTTTTTAGAGGCCAATTTGATGACACAAAATTTAATTGTTATTTGGTTTGCAGATTTGTGGTACTTGGTACTTGTGTTAATTGAATTTCAGTCGTATTTATAATAACTAAGCTATCAATGCATTGTTATCTCTAGAAAAAAGCGTACGTATAATAATAATAATATAATAATAATAATTCGTCTATCTTGTACGAGGAAGGCGTAAATCCTGTGCTAGCACTTGACCAACTGCTTATGGAAAGAGAAGGTAATGATATGGTAATCTTGATGTGATGGCTAAGATGGCAATGGTAAAGGATACTAACGATTTATAATACTGATTCGGCCAGCGATGAGGGAAAAAACCTGATAAAGTCTTGATCATATTTATATACAATTTATGGTTCGTAATTTGTTTTCTAAAATCGGTAGAGTACGTTAAAGTAATTTCCGTTTCGGTCTGACTCGGGATAATCTCTAATTAAAATTAATTTTCATTGTAAATGCGGGAATCTTGACATAATAATTTCATTGGTGAATTGAAAGTACAAAAAAAGATCTGTATGAATGCGTGTATATAAAGACAAATTCGATGAAGAATTATTAGTCTTTTTATCTGATACGCGTTTTGATGTGAAAAGATTGGTAGGATAAAAATAATTCGAATCATTAATTTCTGTAGTTCGTAATCAAAAATTATTAATATTACTTGCATAAAATATTAGGCGAACAAAAACAATATATAAATTAATATGCAGTGAACAGCTTAATTTCTTTAACATTGTATCTATTCAATTTTTAATAGTTTTCTCTTAATAAGGCGCTATTAGTAAAACAAAAAAACTTTTGTTGCTGATAATAACCTATCAAGTTGTAATACAATGAAACCTCAATAAGTACACTTCCCTGTGACTTTCCCTCTTATGCGCACATGTTTGATAGGTCGAGCGTGAATTATGTAATATTATATGTAAATCACTCTTTATAAGTGCATTCTTTCCAAACAACATGCACTTACAGAAGGTCGGCAAAATTTTCAGTATACTGCATCTCAATTGCCCGGGTAACTTATTTGATACAGTTTAAAATTCTTTTAGAGTACGTAACGTTTCACTAATAAAAAATCACATTCATAGCTTTAAACGAATGTTGATATTCATTTATTGTGCAAAAGAGTCCGAAAGAGTCTGACTTTACTTAGAAGATAAAATATACCACCGTCTATTGGACCGTGCGAAATTATATTGCAGAATGAAATGGTTTAAGACTACTTTATAAAATTTAATAAATTTTTATTGCAACTATTTAATTTGAGGAGTAAAAGATCCAGATTAATCTTTAACTTTGATCGGTGTTTGGGTTTGTCATAGTGGATAGCTACCGGTAGCAGGTAACCCAAACTGTTTCGGTACCATTTGGTACTTTCGGCACATTTTGATCGGGATTTGGGATTTTGTCAATATTCAAAAAGAAAATTACTTCGTGGTGATCGCACCCAAACATTCTGTGCCAGGTTATGTCGATCTATGTATCATGATATGCAGTGTAACTATTGTCAAATTATGTAATACGCCATACATATAGATAATAAATGAACATTTAATGTACGTATGTATGTATATGAGTGCGTGAGAGTGAAAACCTACAATCAATCATAGTAAATCATTAATCAGTTTCCAGGTTTTCACTCTCACACACTCTTTATATAAATTTGTGCGAAAAAAGATAACTATATTTACATCGTTTAGCCCTAATGTAAATAGCAATTTACATATAATTTTGGGCGTTCTCAAGCCTCAACCTCAATGTGATTAGCTAGTGATCATAATAGTGCACAACGGTAATGTATAGTTATTGGATGCGAAGCAGCCAATAACGGAAAATAATTTCATTATCTGGCTGTGAAATTTAATATGTCAGCTTCTGGCCCCGAAATGACGCATATTAAATTCACAGCCAGATAAACAAGTTATTGGCTGAGTAGCATTCAATAACGGTATTATCCAGTGCTTACTATGATCGTACCAACAGAATGACCCGAGTTCTTTTGGTGATGATTGCGTCATCATCAAATAACTCTGTTATTTGATAATGATGTGATCATCATCAAAATAACTCGAGTTATTCTGTTGGTACGATTATAGTTTTTTTTTTTTTTTTATAAGAGAGATCTTTCCTTTAGTCTTTTATTTCAATAATATATAATTAAGTACATTAGTACAAATTGATACATTAAACTAAGGAAGTAGAAGTTAGGATTAATTTATTCTTAATCTATTCTTAGCTAGAATGGTTAAAAGACCTCTAGTTTATAGGTTCGATAAGAGAAGATATTTGGTTAAATTGTATAAATCTATTAAGTTATATTGTATATTGTCTATCTATAAAAGTTGTATATATGACATTTATGTTTTCAGAAGAGGTTAGTAAAAAGGAAGAATGAAGTTGAGAATATTGTCTACTTGATTTTCATATATGTTTATGTATCTTCTTTGTAATTTGATGGTATATATTTGGGAGCAGATTTGACTTCTTCTTTAGGAATTCAAAATTGATTAAATTGTCAGATATAATTCTTATTAGAATTTTTTGTTTTATGTAAATATTTTGAATTTCTTGAATTAAGTCAAATGTTATAACTGATTCAATCTTGTTGTTTTTACAAATTTTGAGAATTGCTTCTTTTATTATTTTTTTTAGTTCTATTTGATTGTAAGATCAGATTAGCATATGATAAATATTTTCTGATATATTAAGATATTTTGTATAACATGGATTAGTATAAGATTTTGGGTTTTTGTTATATAAATTTAGATGAGTCAAAAGTTTTGAAATTAAGATTTTGACTTTAAATATTTTTAGTAAAGATTTTTTAAAATCAGTAATTTGATTTAGTAGTTTGTTTTAAAAGTTCAGATATGCAAATATAAGTTTCTAGACAGCTTGGTGGAACTTGAATTGAATACCAAAGTAGTAAGGATATGTTGTGAAGTTAGTACCAGGGTTGGGGTAAACTCTACAAAGGCATAGCAGTTTAATAGTACGTCCTAACTGCCAGTGTTGGTCTCGGCTATAGCGATACCAGATCAGCTATAAGAATGGGATAAAAAAGATTCTAGAAGGTTTAGTACAAGGTCAAAGGTTTCCCATGTGAGTGAACTGTTTTAAAAACTTAGTAACTATGGCATATTTGAACTGGTATCAACTAGGGCATCTTGGTAGGTGTAGATAGATGGGTAGATATGGGAACAGAGTGGTTAAATAAGAAACCTACAAGCAGGTTCCAGGTATGACAGCTAGTGTAGAACCTTCGGGTGGACTACTTAAATTAGACAATAACTAAAGTTGTACAAGTGGCTAGTTGTACACTCTTTCCATGGTTGCCTCCTGTAGTTGTAATGCAACCATTAGCTGAATATACTATCAATAAAATCCTGGGTCGCAAGTACTCACTTTAATATTTAAAAAAAAAAATATAAGTTTCTAGTTAATTTTTAGAAGACAACTTGTAATGTTTTTAATACATTTTTAATTGTTCTATATTGTAATTGTTTTAGTATATTATAGAATTTTGAATATTTGATAGATTGTATATGTAGTTTGTGTGTTTAATATATATAAAATAAACATAATATTAAGTACTTTGCTTAGAATTAAATCTGTATAAAATTGATATGATGTATTTTTTATGTTAATTTTTTCCTTTATTGTATTAATTTGAATTTGTAAATTTTTTGTATTTATTATGATATTTTGAAGGTTGATTATATTATTAAAGTAGGTTTTTCTAAGTTTTTGTCTTAGCTCTGATTAGGTTAAAAATATTATTGTAATTTGGTTTTTAATTGTATTATTGTTTATTAAAATTTGAATACTTGTTTCTGCAATTATTATTATAAATATTATTGTTAGCATTATTAATATTATATAAGTCAAAGAAAAAAATATCTAATTAGTACAATGCCAAGTTTGCTCATTATATAAAAATGCAAGTTGGGCAAATAGTGTATTATGTTTGCTTGTTTTTTTGTAATTTTATATTAATATAAGTTCTGATTTTTTTAAGAAGGTGTTTGTTGTAAAGATTTTCTATAGTTCTTCTTGCTCTTTTGTAAAGACTTAAATAAATTTATAATTAGTATGATATTTTTTTGTTAATAGCTATAGTTTTTGCTCTCATTTAATTTAGTTAATTTTTTGTTAAAAATATAAATACTTCAGGTTTGTATAAATTCATTTGTAACAGTCAACTTGTATTTTAAAAATTAGTTATGTTGAGATTGTAAAGTAACAATAAGTTGTTTTAAGTTTCAGATTTTTAAGTTTATATTCAAAATATAGAATAAGTTATTGTTCATTTAGTAAATGATTGTTGTAGTGTCTGATTCTAGCTAAATTATTATTAATATTTGTTATTTTGCTAAAAATTTTAAATTTTGTGATTATCTATTGAGAATAAAAGTTGTCTATATTAACAAAGTATATGGATTAGGATATATAAGTATTATAAATAGATTTAATGATAAGGTTATATTATCAGTAATTGTTTTAAACTATTTTAATATTTTCTTTTTAGGTATTTTTTGTATATTATAATAGAAGCCTCTCTAATTTAGTATATTGTAATTTGTGTAGTCAAGAAATTGTTTAATGCAAGTAATGTTGTGAGAGTTAAGTTTTTGCTTAATTAATTGAGATTGCTTTATATTTTGAAAATTTTGATTAATAGTTGTACTTTTTGTTTGTTTAAGAATTAGTTATGAATTTGTTGTATATTTTAGTTAAATTTTAAGAATATAAAGTATAAATATTATTTAGATTATATTTGTTCTTGTTACATTCATAGTTAGTATTAGTTGTTCTGTCAGAATAGATTTATTCAAGTTGGCATCATTTTGAATTTATTGTAATCATATTTTTAAGCTTTGCTTATCAAAATTAGATAAGTTAATAGTTCTATCTAGTATACAAATTTGTTGTTGTTATTGAATATTGTATAATGTATTTAGTGCATATATATTCAGATAGTAAATTGTAGAATTTGGTATAGATCTAGCTAATCTAGCTTTTTGTTTTACTATATTTGCATAGAGATTTGTAATTGTAGAGCAATTGCATTTTAATAGATATGTGCTTTGCATTTGATATACTGCATAAATTAGAATAATAATAATAATAATATATATATATAGCTTGCTTTTTGTTATTTTTGTTAATTTAATTTTATTAAAATTAGAAGTAATGTCTTGGATTAAGAATTTCTTTGTAGATTAAAGTAATAGATCTTTAGTTAA